TCGGTCCCCAGCCTGTACTGGCGTCTGGGGTTATTCCTCCCCAGGTGCAGAACCCTGCACTTGGCCTTGTTGAATTTCATGAGGTTTTTCACAGCCCAGTTGTCCAGTCTGTTACACGTTGCTCCCCATTAAGAAAAATCAAACTGTTTCTGCAAGGGCGAAATGCAGTTGCCCCCTCCAAAAGCTGCCCTGAGGCCACTGACCGTGGGCTAACTGGAGACAAGCCACGTCTTCTCAGTCCCAGCCGTTCCCGCCTGACATCTGCATTGCTCTGCTTGCATGTGGCCCCCTTTTCTGGAGAGGGGTTCAGATACCGTTGTCATCAGGTGGCTCTTCCTTTGGGGTCCAAGGCACCGCTACAGTGAGATGGAGCCTGCAGAGTTGGCACTGTTGGTTTAGAGAAGGCATTTGCCCTCCATGTAGGCCTCTCTTCTCAATCTCACCCCATTGATTTCCTGCGTGCTTTCAGGCACAAGTCTGCTTAGATCTAGATCTTTGGAGAAATTCAGAAATCAGATTTCTACTGTTTTCCCTGAGAAATGAGACTTTGACCACCAATCCTTCCTGTCTCCAGTGCTCATCTATGAAACAAATCTGCTCCATCCGTTTGGAGCAGAGGAAAATGGTCACCAGATCCTCTCTCATGTAGGAATGAAGATCATGACATGAAGATCATCTCAGAGATATGTGGGAAGGAATGAGCGTAGAAGGACCTCAGGAGCTGGTCTAGTCCAACACCATGCTGCTCAAAGCAGGCCAGCTAGGGGAGATTGTCAAAGACCGTGTCAAATTAGGTTTTGAATATCTCCAAGAATGGAGACTCCACAATCTCGCTCAGATGGGAACCATTGAAGTTCTTCCTTTCCTACCCACTAAGTTTTTCATGCTATAGTCTTAATTTTTCTTGCCACCCACAACAACTGGAGGTGGGTATGGTTCAGCTCCATGGATAAATCCCTGCCACATACCAAAGTGGGATCAAACAAGCTCAAAGTATCCACAGATCTGAGGCCTTCTTGGGCTGAGACACCTGTAATGTAAGGAATTTTGAAAATACCTCATGGCTTGTGTACCACTGTTCCCCACTCTTTATTTTCACAGTGGAAAAAGTAGCAATTAATCCTGGTGAGCTTTTAAGGACACTGAGTCTGTAGAAATATTTGTAAAGCAATTTAGAACAATTGGCAACAAGGGGAAAAATCAGTTTTTCACAAAACAGGAGCTCCTTTAGTGCCGAGCTATAGGCACTTTTGTTTTCCTTTAAGTCTCATCATGTCATGCTATTAGAGAGCAAAAAATATTATTTCAAAGCAGTTCAATCCAGTACTGGTGGAAAACAGAATGGCCGACTTTCATAATTAAGACATGCACCGAGATATTCCTGTTCAGGTCTTCATTTCCAGCTATTTTTTCCTCATATGTGACACAATGCATTCATACTCTGGTCTTGGGCCATGACTTATTATTCCCCGAGTAGAGACATTGTAGATTGAGAATGTTTTTCATGTGTACAGATGGCAGATGAATAACAGTTTCAGTGACCCAGTGGAACGATAAGACATCGAGGACATTGTTAGAAGGGGATATGATGGTAAAGAAGCTGCTGGAAGGAAGATTCTGCCAAAGTGCAAAATAGAGAGGTCTCCATCTGTCTCACTCTTGGCTGTTCCACGTGCTTGTGGACAAGGTTAACATTGTGTAGGGGGAAGCAGGCTCTGCCAAAGTCATGTTTACAAAATGACACGTTGCAAAGGTATGTCCACTCCGTTTTCTGGTATGGAGCTACCGGAGGAAGACAGAAGGGCCAAATCCTGTGGGTGAGATAACACAGCGGGGGCCTCATGCTTTGGAAAAACAAGGGAAGGAGGCAGAATCATCAAAAATGTACAGGCTGCTCAAGAGACCAATGCAAAGACCCAACGCTGCATATGTGAGGTTAAATGCCCTTACTTGTTGCTGCCAAAGGATTGCCTGAATTTCTGATAATATTACAAGAGAATTTTCCCTGATCCAAAAACAAATCATATGACATTTTATCACATGTTCCCCATTAACCCTTCATAAGGTGCTTCTCTACTCTGCAAAATCATCATGGTCAAATGACCAATTTACACTTTTATGGACCTGCTGATAGATTTGTACGTAGAAAGACCAGAGGCTTTTAGCTCGCTGAAGTTACTCCCCCAGGAGACCCTCTGGTGGCATCCAAGGCAATGGAGATCAACAACCACAAGGGACTGAGCACCAGTTGCAGGATTTGGACCAGCGCTTTTCAAGGGGATTTTTGCTGAAGGAAGGATCTTTGCTGTGAGGAAAAGCAAACACAGTTTTGCTTTCTGGCTTGGCCTAGGCTGGGCCAGTTGAAGTCAGGGCTTGTCATGGAAACTGTTTTGTAGGGGAGCACTCGGCAAGCACCACCTCGCTGGGGCGCACATAGCCGCATCTGATGGGCGATTGTGTTCTGGTTAATGTTTAACTGCAGAAAATGGGAAAGTCTCAAGGCAGAAGAAGGTGCTCGAACACCTGAGTGAGCAGCACTCCTGCACTGCAGAATTGCGTCGCATTGGTCAAGCTGCTGTCATCTTTAGTAGCTCTGAGTCATTGCATCCCTCTTCCGCTCTGTTCGGGTCGATAACCGATAGCTTCAGTTCCACAGAAGAGCTGTTTCACCACAGCTCTTGGGTAATGATCACTGCTTTGCATGGGGTCAGGCAAATGACAAATGTAGCTGAGCCAGGATGAGCCAGGCCAACGCCTCTCTTCCCAATTCAGCAGAAAGGAATGGCCTTGGCAAGGCAAGGACACAAGGGTCAATGCTGTTGTCAGGCTGGGCTAGTTTTGAAGAGAGATCTGGAGATTCACTTTGCCTTGCTGAAGGCAGCAGCTTGCAGCAGGTTAAGACAGGAGCCATCTCCCTGGCAAAGGGGTTGGAGCATTGAGGAGATGAAACCTGTACCTGTTGCTTCAGTTCATTACTTGCCAGTCTTAGTGGAGCTCCCATTTTAAGCTGATTATTGTAGACTGTGAGCTGAGGGTATGATGGTCTTGTTTTCTCAGGACTGTGGGGAAAAGTGCATCTTCGAGTGCCAACATATGATTTTCCAGGGGTTCTTGACTGTCTATAACCTAAAATATCTATAGTCTTGAAGATGGGAGGCACAACTGTAATCTCTACACACCCTTAATTTTAAGTATTTCATTTAAAAACACTAGCAAAACTCTTTTTTTTTTGGAATGGGGAATAGCCCATGCAAATTCTGAAGTGCTTTCCAGCACAAGTCATGCCTCCATCCCCAGGATAGCTCTTGCAGCTAATGCTGAGGGTTCAGTGTCAAACTCGGTATAGCGGTTGCTGGAGAAAACCTGTTGAAGTGGTAAGTTACAGATAGTAAGGACAATGGCACCAACCATAAAAAACTCAGGTTGCCAGACAAGGAAAGTTAATGCATGAATCACTGAGTATAGAATTGCAGCCCAAAAGGGGCAATACCTCAGTGAATATAACAGCACTGAAATAATGATGGAATATAACAACAAGGATGGAAACGGCCATACAAAGCCAGACCTCCCTTGGTCTTTCTGCATGAGCTCTGTCTGATGCTGAAGACTTTGTGGAATGTTATGCTGCAGTGTATTTTGTTTTCCAAAACTGTATTTGAGGGAATGAAGAGGGAAATCCTCAGGGAAGGGTTTTTTTCTGCTAGGGAGCGACCTCTGCCTTGAAGCAAAAGACCTTTCGGGAGGTTAATTTGCTACTTGCTGGCAGCTCCAGAGTCTCTAATCTCTGGGGAAGGCTGGCCACGTATGTGTGCACTGCGGGCGTGGGTTCCTCTCTGCCCTGCTCCGTTTGCTCACTCGCACCGTGGCCAAGAATTAACAGGTACACTGAGAAAACCGGATAGCCAAGGTGGGACAGTGACGTGTCGTGGACAAACAATAGTGCTGGCTTCCTTCCAGAGAGATAAAGAAAGACTGGGGACTGTGGCCCCAAGTTTGGATCTAGCCATGTTCAGGCCATTCTTTTATGTGGGAGGATTCCCAGAAGCTCCCAAGTCCAATAGACCCTTGGCCCCATGTCATCTTTGGATCCAGTGCCCAACCCTCTGGCACTGAAGCCAGAGCTTGGGCAGTTGATATTTTACAAGCTGTGTTCTTGTTTAGTGGATGACTGTCTGATAGGATGTGCTAGAAAAATTACATTTTGTACTGCTTCAGAAAATATGCCTGGGTTTCTAGAGTGCCAAGAAGCTTTAAGGAAGTAGTTGGTGTCAGTGAAGATTCACCAGGACTGGGCCTTCTAGGTAAAGCGATAGATGTTGATGGGATGAACATCAAAGCAATGTGGTGGACTTTACAGAATCTAATTTACTGGATAAATGATGTGCAAGAGAACAAAAATCCCACTCTACTGAGTATTTTCATCAGTTTTCCATAAGGTACAACCTGCTGAGATGACGATCTGGATTGTCAGCTGCTTGTGACTGTTATAAAATTACAATCTTGTTCTACAGATTTTAAATCCTGCTTCGTCGCTTTGCAAAACAAGAGTCGATAATTTACAGACACCTGAATTCATATCCCATAGTAAGCTGCCACAGCACTCTGCGTCTAGAGTATGCAGAGCTAGTCTACACAGTATTCCCCGCTTTGCAAAACAAGAGTTGATGATTTACAGACACCTGAATTCATAATCTCATAGTAAGTTGCCACAGCACTCTGCATCTAGAATATGCAGAGCTAGTCTACACAGTATTCCTAGGCAGAAAAAAGCCATTTACCCAATGAGAACTTAGCTAGACAACTAATAATATTAGATAAATGCAACTAACACTAACCTTGCACTACAGAGAGCTATCATTACTATTAAAATGATATTATCTAAACTTTTCAACAGAGTAAGATACAGTTTGAGCTGAGTTGTCATGTCAGTCTTAAAATGGTAATAGGGATTACCAGTGGTTGTTAGAGGAGTCATATGGTGGAGGGTGCAGAGGCTACAGGCAGATATGGTGTCCTGACCTACTGACCACAGGCACTGGGATCACCCAAGAACTGACCTGGTGACTCAGTCATGAAGACCAACCTACTGAGCATCCTGTAGGTGTTTCCTCTAGGGAGATGATTCCTTTAGGTAGAGAAGCACATCTAACTTGAAGAGGAAGCCAAAGAGCAAAAGCAAAGTACAAACATTACAAATGACACAGCTTTGCAAATGGCTGTATAAATAGTTTAGGAGCTTCACAAAACCTCAGGGAATCTGTCGAGCCCTAATGAAAACCTCATGAAGCCCAGCAAATTCCAGCACACTTTGGTCAGGGTCATCAAGCAGAACATTTGCAATTTACAGAGTCAGCTGAATCTAGCAGCAAGGATGCATTTTATAGCACAGACTGAGCAACCAGGGAAGATTCAGCAGCACAGTCACTAGTTAATCGGTGTTCGAGGTTGGCAAAGTTTAGTCCACAGGAGGTCTTGCATGGCAGAGTCACCGCTGGTCCCACAGCAGGGACATCCCGCGGGAATCTCAGCCTTTCGGGACTGTCCTTCCATGGGAATGGCACCATGCACAAGCAAGACGAAGGATTAGTGAGGTGTCCTCATACATCACATGGGAAGCGAAGCAAAGGGAGATTATGACATTTTTGGCAGAATTACAGATGGATTCCACACAAGAACAAGAAAGTAAGCTCAGGTCCCCAACAGCAAACTTGCACCTGTAAGAATTGTGACCCGGGTTTGCCTCCCACAGGATACAAGCTGGTCCCAGAAAAAACAGTTAATCCCAATGGTTTTAAGGGGAGTTAAATAACTGGGGCATCAGAAGATCTAGTTACAGGACCTCAGATTCAGTGGTGAAAACCACTGGAGTCTCCACCCTTCCTATTAATACTTCTCTTCAGCATTCAGACAGACCAGCAGTATTCACCTTGGCGATGACTTAGTTGCTCACATTTAGTAACTAGACCTGAATGCCCACAAAATAACTCCACCCTCTCTTCGGAGAGTAATTTTTAATCCCTGTCATTTCAGTGACCTGGCTATCTGTGTGACTGCACAAAGCCCTTCCCCACAAGGTTGTGAGGGAAGGTAACAAAATCTTGGAGCTCCGATCTGTTGCCAATGCACTCGAAGACCCCCCCTGCTGAAATCAGAGCTATAGCAGCCCACATCTTTCCTTGAAATAGGACAACGATTGCCAGGGGTTGTCTGGTAGTGGAGCCAAGTTCATAAACTCCTGACGTCCTGACCTACTGAATGTGGCTAATGAGTTTTGAATCTTTGGGGGTCCAATGACAAATCATGCAAGCCACTGAGCCCTGGGACGAACAAGCAGAGCCAAGACCATCCCTACAGGTCTCTGCTTAGAGCAGGTCAAGGCCAGGGTCTTGCCTGGCAGCAAGCTTTTGTTCACAGGAATGCATCCCTCATTGTGCCAACCAGGAAAGAGCACGAAAAAAAAACAAAAACACAAACACTGTAAATGCTGAGAAATGGCTGTCTTGTTAAATTTTGCCCCTCCCTGTTTCTCAGGGTGCCCAAAGGGTGCAGAGCACCTTCCACTCCTCGTGCTCACATTTGCTTCATTACCCCCGTGTTACATGTTCATCACCTTGTGCTCCGGGAAGGGACTCAAGTACTGCTGCAGCAAGCATGATGTGGGCACTGATATTCAAAATAGCTTCAGTTCGGATGATGAGTGAATATCAGTCCCTCTTCTGGGCACTGTGGACGCTTCTGTGATGCCTGCAGCTTCTCAGCCTCCCTATATTCCTTGTTGAGCAGCCCGTGGATCCAAACAGGAAAGCAAACACAGGGAGGGGTGGAGCAGGTGCTGCCAACCAGGATCCACAAACTTCATCAGCTTCTCTCAGAAAATGGGAAACAAGGGTCACAAGAACTGCTCAAGGGGAACACGACTTGTTTTGTGCAATTATAACTGCTCCAGCTGTTGAAGAATTTGTGCAGCCAGGTTTTAGACACTTATTTTGTGCAATTGTAACTGCTCCAGCTGTTGAAGAATTCGTGCAACCAGGTTTTAGGCAATGTCGTAGTGTAGAGTTAAGTTGCCTGCCAGAAAAGGGCCTCAGGAAGTCAAAGCCAGGGCTAAAATCCAGGTCTTCTGTGCCCCTCTTACCACCCACAGGGCCAGACTCGTTCCTGCATTGCACTTGCAAAGCTGGTCACAACCTGGGATGCCAAAGCGCAATGGTCATCCTCACACTCCGCATTAGAGGTCAGTGAGGAGCTGTGGCACACCCCAAAACCTTCTCATTTTCAGGAAAAAAAAAATGAGGCTGATGCACCTAAGCCCTTTTGAGAGCTTTTCTGTTATTAGTCAGTACAAATATTGACACCACCCGTTGTTAGCAGGTCAGAGCATCGACACTGGCTGAGGAGCTCGCATGAGCTGAGAGCATTTTTCTGCGCTCTTCTGGTTACCGTGTTTAAACACGAAGCAAATCTCCTTTTACGCCAGACTTCCCCCTGGGAGGGAGAGGTCACATTTGGGGCATCTTTGTGCCACTTCCCAAGAGAAAGAGGCCAGTTTAGTGTTTCTCCTTCCTATGTTTCCTGGCTTTTCTGAACAGCAGCCAGCAGCACTTGCATAAAGAGCCCATTCTGCAAATCACAATATTTTCTTAGTAGCTCTGGCAGAAATGGAAGGCCTCAGAAGTCACAAAATTGCCTCTTTTAGACCTATGGCTGCACTCATTTGGATTATACACGTTGTCCCACAGAGCTCATTAGCAGCCAGCTAATAGCACAGGCTCTGATCTGTAAGTGTCTGCACATTATATTGAGCGTTTCCATTTCTTACCAAAATTGCTCATACTTGGAGGGTAAAGAGATGCCGGAGAAATCACAGAGCTCTCATCAATGCGCAGAGATGTTGGCTTCTTGGCCATTTTTTTGTGCAGGGACTAACTCTGATTCTGTTCTCTTGGGAATCAGAAGCATCACCCCCTTCATGAGTGGGGAGGAGGCAGGCCATGCTGAGTCTGCAGCCTCCACCAGGTTGCTGCTCCTTGGTCCTCAGGGCAGGTCTGCTGTACCCACAGTCTGGGGAGGTTTTCTCTTCCCACCAAGGACCCCAGCAAGGCAGGGCATTGACTGCTCTTTACTCGGATGTACTGCAGGGACCTCTTCCAGGCTACGTTTCCAGAAATGCAGCTCCTGAGAGTCTGCTGGGAGACGACCACAAGCAATGACCTTAGAGGTCGTATTTGTAATATAGAGATATTGGCCACAAACTGAAACACCAAAAGTTCCACATGAACTTAAGGAAAAAATTCTTAACACTGAGGGTGACAGAGCACTGGAACAGGCTGCCCAGAGAGGTTGTGGAGTCTCCTTCTCTGGAGATTTTCCAAACCCACTTGGACGCAGTCCTGTGCCATGTGCTCTAGGTGACCCTGCGTGTGCAGGGGGGCTGGACTAGATGACCTCTAGAGGTCCCTGCCAACCTTGGGCATTCTGTGATTCTATGATTCCTGGGCTCGTAGATGAATCTTTTCCCAGGGGAAAAGTCCATTGCTAACACACCAAGGCCAGGAGCTACTGCCAGTAGGGGATTTGAACAGGATGGGCTGTTTTCCAGTTCCTGGATCATGTTGATGGAGCAATTAACACCCTGCAACATCCATGTTTGCAGCTCTCAGAAGAACCCGTTGTGTCAGTGGCACTCTGCTTCCTCTATGGGGCTGCATGCTGCTTGCTGGTCCAGCAACCCAACCCGCTGGAGAAGAAATACGTTTCCTGCCTTTTGTACACAGGCAATGCAGAAAGGAGAATAGCCCTCCAATTTTTTTTTCCCTTAATTAATGACAAGCTGTTCAAGCTGAGGAAGCCAGTGCTCTCTGGAACATTTTCTACTTTACATCAAAATCATTGATTTTCAGCAAAAACCCACAGCTCCCAGCAGCCTCAGTCAAATTCCAGAATGCTTTAGATCTTTGAAGACTCAAATTTAGAGATATTTCCTTACATTCTCCCATCTCCTTCTCCTAAGCCAGGCCTCCCAGCTGGATTACGCATCCCAGGGCACATCTTGAGCTGCTTTATCGTGGGGCTTTGCACCTCGCACTTGTTGGAGACCAAGTCACAGCAGGTTCACGTTCTGCAGTGTTCAGCACAGGGGGCTTCCACAATACCTACTCTGTTTGTTGGTCTGGAGGAACTCCTGCCTATCCAGGAGAGATGGATGGACATATATGTGCAGTTAGGTGCTTTTCTTCCAGCAGAAATACATGGGGTCCTGTGATCCTGGAGACTCTGGTGAGGCCAAAGGAAAGAAGCATCTCTTGCAGCACCGTGGTGAGGGCAAGGCACGTACTGCATTTATCCAGACAAAAATGTGCTTCCACTTAAACCCAAGAGATTATAGGTGTGATTCATGCCTAGCCACATGCATATTTGTTTAATTCAGGAGAGCTGGATTTGTTTTTCCATAACACCGAAGGTCCATGAGACCTTGAATAAGGGAAGCATGACCACTGAAGCGGGATACCTCGAGCTGTTACAAACTTACTCCAGGTATCCCAGTTCAGTGGTCATGGATCCTTGCAGCTAGTACATAGCTGCGTGCACTAATGTCCTAACGTGTTGATGAAATCTTTCTTTTTGCTGAATAAAAAACTGTTTTTCTTTCTTCTAGAGCTGACACAAATTTGACTGAAATCCTGCCTAAAACGAACTATCTATGCTGACAATCGACTTCATTTTCCTCTCATCTAGGAGATATTGTCTCCCTGTGTCGCTTTCCTTGCAGATGGTTCATGTTTTCCATATCACTTGTGCAGCACTGTCAGTCCAGTTTATCAATATATATATGTATTTGCTTTTAAAGTGCCCTGGCCAAAACTGAACACAACAGCAACTGAAATTCCTCTGGCAATTATTTCCCAGCTCTTGCCCAACATTCTTATTGAGTATATTCCTAGAAGGAAAACTGTGATTTTTTGGTGGTTTGCTTTTTTTGGACTTGTGGTTGTTTCCCTGCAGAAGCATCACAGAGTGACCCGAGTTTTCCTTGCCATCCGCTGCCTCTCCCAGCTTTTCCTCTGCAGCGTGGCTCCCTTCCAAACCACCTCCCACTTTCTGCTTTTACATTGGATCCACACGTGCTCTCCGTGCAGGCGAGACCAGTGCAATCTTCCTGCTCTCAGCTCTCATCT